AGTAGGGGCACCCCTAGTTAAGCCCGCTGATTGGAACCAGCACTCCCTCAGTCAACAAGCCCTCATGCTGTGAAAGAGGATGGCATATGTCATGCGTGCCATATGGATGGAGTTAGGATTCAGGCCTGACATGAGGAGACATGGATTCGCACCAAGAAAATCTGCCAAATTTCCAAAATGAACATTAGGCGCTCAAAATTTGTGTGTAGGCTTTGACAATAAATGTGTTACTGCTTTACACTTGTGTGCATTCTGTTGCCATCCAGTACCGTTGTCAGCTGTGGTGGAAATAACTAATTAAAATACGCCAGCTGTCCCTACTTTATAAATATCCTGGCACTCCTTCCTGTCCATTACCCACATCCCCACTTACACTCCACTGCACAGTTGAAAGGGAAGTTGTTATGCGAGTCTTTGTTTTTATTTTCAATTTCCAGGGAAATTTTATCACAAGGTTAGCAGTCTCGAGGGTCTTGCTCACCGCAGTCATAAATATTACGGCACAACCTCTTGAGTCCTGCGAAGTTTACATTGTGACACCAGTGCCTGCAAGATCAAAGGATACCAATGTTCCAGTGTGTTTCCTGTCTTTGGGAAGACCTTTTCTGCCCCCGTTTCCTTGTTGCTGGCTTATTAACAGGTATTTGTTGCTGTAATAACAGGCTGTGCCACATTTGAGAGACTAATCTAAACGAGCTGCTCAGTGGATGTAAATTTACCTTCCCTTGAACTCATACAGATGGAATCCAGCTAGGCCCTTTGCATAAAATTTCATAACAAGGCCTTACAGGCCCTGATAAAGGTGTGCATTTCCATAACGGTGGAATCCAGGAGGACGGTATCGGCTGAAGGGATCTTAATAACTTTGCTGTTTGGAATTCCGCGCGGCCTTGAGCCGACGATGGAAGGAGCACCGTGTTGATTAAAGGGAAAGCTGCTTGTGTCACTCAAGGTCAACCCGGAAAGTTGGAGCCGTGCTCAGTGCCGTCTCTGAGATGTCTCGGTCCGAGCCATTCTCTTCGACGGCGCTCTTGTTTTCAAATTTTGACAAGGTGGTGATGTTGAAAACCCACGATGTTTGCCTTGCAAATGACAAAACAGCCCTGCAGCGTTAGGCTGCATGGCCCTACAGTGGGAGAAGCCCTGGGGCCTTCGGAGAATTTACATCCCAAATGCTGATGTCTAATTCCTAAACCTGATTTGCGTGTTGTTTGCTTTGGGAAGTGCAGTGGAAATGCCGACTGGATAAACACTTCAGCTTCTCCTTTTCGCGTGTACAGTAAGCGAAGAACAACAACGTGCAGGATTTCTTTTTAATTGTGTGGGGGCCTCCGCATGCCGCAGGGGCGAAATCCCTTTGCTCGAAAAGGAGCTTCTGCAACTCGAACACGATCTGAACTCGGGAGCTCCCCGCCATTCGTTTTTCCAGGCCGACGTCGTGTGCCGGGAGATATCTGTGGTCGACCAAAGCCGTGGGAAGTTCAGACTCGAGAGGCTACAGCAAGGACATCTGTTTATGGAGTGCTGCCGTGGTGGAGGAGAAATTGGATCGTCTTCCCCCTAAAGTTATCTCCCGCGCTGCTATCGGCAGCTCACCTCCTGTCTGCAGTTTGTCATCGTCCTGTGGTGCAAGACAGACGCAGCACTCCAGCTGTTGCTGAGGGATGACCCTGCATTATAAATCAGGTCAGAGCGGCGGGATATTAAATACCCCGTGATGGACAGCTGAGGAGAGACAGAAGGATCGAGGGGGTCACCCGTCAGAACTTCAGTCAGCCCAGAGAAGAATGGCACAGCCTCTTGCTGCTGATCAGCTGGCTGTGATCCGTCCGAGCCATCTTCCAGAGTAATAGGCAAGCAGCCTCACACAAAGAAAAAGTCACTGCTTCTCCAAGGCTGGCGTAGTGAGAATTCTTATTATTGACACCAAATTCCTCGAGTTGATTCTTGTTGTTGCTTAGTATTATCTAGCGGAGTTTTTTAGCAATTAAAGTTTTAATGCGCCGTAGATAGCCAGTAAAAATAGATTGATCACAGTATAATTGAAGAGTCAGGGTGTTAATAGAGAAATGGTGTTAATAGAAACGGGGGAATTTTACTCGGTTCGACAGTTTCAGCTACACGATTCAATCTAGGGCGTACAACTGAAAACAAAATGCTCAGTTTGCTTGTTATTAGTAAAAAAGGTTTCAGTTTCTCTTTTGCTTCTCCAGCGCCCGTTGGATTCTAATCGGTGAATCCAAGGAGACCCCCCTTTTTGGTAACTATGGGAAAATCTTGAATCTTGAATTGGGTCCAGAGTTTTAATGAGGGAGGAAAGAGGCTGACACCATCATCCGCTGCCTCCATTAAATCCCATTAAAATCATCGTCAGGGTAGCCTACACCTCCCTGTGGCCTTTTCTCGCTGCGTATTACAATCCCGGTCGCCTTGTGGCCAGACTCCAACAGGACAACTTGAAATACCGCGAGTCCAGTCAGCCTGGTTTCCATGGTAGCATCAGTCAAGGGCATCATTTAGTCTGAAGCCTGCTTCTTTTATGCTAAGAGCTGAGACCTGTACTGAAAATACTAAAAAGCCGGGCGTCGCATTGGGTAGGCCAGTGTTTCCTAAACAGGACTCATCTGTGGTTCTCAAAAGCTCTCCTCGCAGGAATTATTTGTAGCTCGTTAACCTGAAAAAAAAACGTATTTCTTTCCCTTCTTCTTGGGGTTCGAATCCCTGAAAGATTAAGCAGAGCATAATAAGCCTTGTTGGGAATTCCATTAAGAGGTCTGCATTTAACTCGCGCTGGCTTCAAGCTGCTTGTAGGAAAGGAGGGGAGTGCTCATTTGTTACTCATTCAGGCTCTGCCTTTGGAGATTTTTAATTGAGGCTCTGTTAAGCCGTCTGGAATTCGGGTTGTATTAAGTGTGCAGATTAGAGCTGCTGAATGTGCCGTTCTCTCTCTCCCACTCTTTTCTTCTGAAGACTCAAAGCTGTTAGCAGTTGAGTGAGCCGAGCCAATTGCACAGCTTCCAGAAGGGGTGTACTGATTGCTCAAAATCACCCCGGTTTCTAATTCAAGCGATTAATCCAGTCAGCTGATTTTTCCAGCTATAATGAAAACCCAGTGCAGCCTTTTGTACGATTAAGTCTATAAATGTTCAAAGACACACTTTCTCAACAAAACACTTTGTTGTCATTGAGGATAATTGTTTGGAGTTATAAAGATTTGCTCCGGTTTTAATTCTAATGCATTAAGAACCTGGCAAGAAGTGACATTTCTGTTAGACATAGGCTATTTTTGTGCCTTTGCACTGGTCTCTAGTCTACTTTAATAATAATTGGTTACACTTTTATAGCTCTTTTCTGGACACTCCACTCAAAGTGCTTTACAGGTAATGGGGATCTCCTCCACCACCACCAGTGTTCAGCCCCACCTGGATGATGTGACTGCAGCCAGAGTGTGCCAGTACTCTCCCCACACACCAGCTCTCAGTGGGGAGGAGAGCAGAGTGATGTAGCCAGTTCAGAGATGAGGATTATTAGGAGGCCATGATTAGTAAAGGCCAGTGGGAATTTTGGCCAGGACACTGGGGTAATACCCCTGCTCTTTTTGAGAAACGCTGTGGGATTTTTAATGACCACACAGAGTCAGAACCTCCGTTTTACGGTGCCTTTTTAACAGTATAATGTCCCCCATCACACTACTGGGGCATTAGAACCCACACAGCGCTCCCTACTGCTCCAACTAAGACCCCTTACAGCTGCAACCTTAGTTTTTCCCAGGAGGTCTCCCATCCAGGTACTGGCCAGGCTCACACCTGCTGAGCTTCAGTGGGCTGCGGGTTATGAGTTGCAGGGTGATGTACTGTAGCAGGCTGTGGTGTCACGGGCCATCTATCGCTTTAAAGCCACTGCTGATACAGTCAGCTATGAATTCTTGTTCTTAAAGGGCTTTTGCTGCCCCCCTTCTTCCCTTTTGAAAACTGAGGCGTACGGCTTTCAGGCGGTCAGTGACACCGGAGCCTGCGAGCGAAGACTGAGGTAGTGGAAGGACTCCTCGACTGCAGCCAAGTCACCTGTTTCCTGGAAGTGCCTGGAGACGCCACGGGCAGGGAGAACGTGGGGAAGGGCATGATAAGGGGCCGCGATCTCTTTTCACAGCACAATTGAAACATAATTATTTCATGCCAGATTGTGTGCTCAGCAATGCCCTGAATAGGGGAGGCATTTAACTTTAATTAGGTGTGATTTATTCATACTGACTGGATCGCTCGCTGAAATTGGATCATCTGATTATAGTCAAGCATGAAAATGACCTGATTAAACACTTCATAAAATCTAGAAAAGAGGGGGGAAAAGCCCAGGGTAGATAGTGTGAGCCAGTGATGTGGCTCATAGGGTTGGTGTGCATTGAATTAAGGGTGCAGGGCTCCTGGTTGGGCCAGTTCTCCGTCTCGCATCCAGGTCATGTCAATACCATGCTGTCCAGAGAAATTCTCTGCCAAAAAGCATGTCCAAGCAGTAGAAGCTGGGTGATCCGAGATGGATTTTGCAAGTTAATTTGTGAGCAACATGAAACCAAGTTATATCTCCCTTACTTTCTCCCCAAAACAGTCTTGTTTCATTAAAACACTGAAATGAATCGTTTGCCTTCACGTTGGGCTAACTTCTTTTTTTTTCCCTCTTTGTCCTTTTGTTGGGAATCGTCCCTCGCAATTTGCAGATCTGAACGCGAATGAGAGTCTCGAATCGAAGACTCGCAGCTCAACCAAAGTCTCAGGGCTCCAGCGCAGCCAGGAGCAGAGCACAGAGGCGTCCTTCCTGCCACCCGTCCCCAGCCCCACCCCAGCCTCCCCTCCAGCTGGATCTCCTGCGCCCGCCGCCGCCGCTGCCGCCGCCCCGCCCC